TGAATTGTGAGCCTTTAGCCTAGATTTATCGCTCTCGTTTATGCGTCTCGTTCCTTTCTTTTTTTTTTCTTTTTTTTTTTTTTTCTCTCTAAATTGTCTCGTTGGAAAAGTAAGTACTAACCTAACTGTCGAAAAATGCAGGATGGCACGTTTGCTCGAGCACAGTAGTCCCCACTCGAGCGTCCGTTCAATTTGGAATTGGGATTATCTTACCGTGCGACATTGCATTTGCACGATACAAAGCGAATGACGTACCTGATATACCTAATGTTTTGGCACAATTCGCAAAATACACCTCTCCGGTTTGCCGACTGCGGGCGCTTAAGCGGAGACTACTGTACATACACGCTGCTCGTTTCGTTTCTCTTTCTTCCAAACCGATAAATCTTATTTACTTTGTTTGTGCAACGCAATGTGTTTGTCGTACGTTCAGAGTGAGCAGCATTATCGCGATACTATCATCGGACGCTAAACAAGCTTGAGGTATTAGACGTTCGAATTGCGTCGCCTAATTTGTTTTGCCGTTGGAGTATTCGTAAGTAAAGAATCACGATTACAACGTTGAAGTAGCAACTGTTTCGCATATTACAACCTATCATTTACAGTTGATTGAAGGACAAGACAATATGATTTCTTATTATGAAGTTTTTTTTTCTTTTTTTTTCTCAATTGCAGAAATTGTCCGCGTCTCTCTCTCTCTCTCTCTCTCTCTCTCTCTCACACTCGCTCGCTCGCTCGCTCGCTCTTTCTCTCTTGTACACTCAATGCATGCGTGTGTATTTGTTTCTACATGCGCAAAAGTTGATTCACACATAAACCTAATTGAGCATTAAAAGTTAATGGCCAGGGCATCCCGAAACAATCACCGATAGTATTTGTAACGGAAGAAAGGAACAATTTTTACAAGCTACGCGATACGAAAACGAAAGCGAATGATATCTTCAAGATGGACTGATGATATACACTGGCAGGAGTATGAGGGAAGAAATTAACGGGAGAAATGTATGACGTAGAGTAGTGAATCGGCGTGAAAAGCTAAAATTTACGTACAGGATGCTCCGTGGCTGATTGTAACCGTTTGGTCCGTGCTACTCGATCACGAGTATCTCGAACGATCTCTCAATCGAGGGCTAATCTCTCGAGGTATTGGTGAATTTCCTCAAAGTTCGGTCTGTCCTCGATCCGTGTGCTCCAACATTTCTTCATTACGTTGTAAAGATCGTCCGGACAATGATCCGGTCGCGAAAGAATTCGCCGTTGACTTTTCTCGTCGTCGTCGTCGTCGTTGTCGTTGTCGTTGTCGTTGTCGTTGTCGTTGTGGTCGCCGTATCGCCGATTATCGGCGCAATACGTTTCGCTTTGATAGCAGTGGCCACAATTTTCGAAAACCTGTGCCACTGTTAAATCCGCGTACGGTATCTCCTTGCAATTTAGAAAAATTTCCCAAACTGTTGCAGCGAATGACCAAACGTCAGCTCGACAACTGCGTTTACCCTAAGAGAGAGAGAGAGAGGGGGAGAGAGAAAAAGTAGAAAGCAGATAATAAACAGGATTTCGACAAACGTCGAAACTATACAGTAGAAGAAACTGATGGTTGCAGATGCAGAAAAGTACACAGGTGCACGTGAGAATGAAACGAAGAGAGAATAGAAAGTGATATTGCTCACCAATAAAACTGCTTCCCACGCCATCCAACGAAGAGGAATTTTTACATTGTGTCCGTCGACGAAGTAATGATGGTCATATTTATTACAGTATATGGCATGATCCGACACTTTTATACTCAAGTCTTGGCCAACGATGCAATTTCTAAAACATTAGGCCACAGTATGCGACAATTAAATCGAATCGACTGATTCTTTTTACGGATCGTCTCTTTTTTTTTCTCCTCGATGCATCGAGGAATCGCTTACTTACCTGGCTGCTAAATCACAGTGTGCAATGTTCACGGATTCCAGATACTTCATGCCAGATGCAATTTGAGTGACGAAGCTCAAGTGGTTGCTGTAGCTGCGAAGAATAGGAAGAGAATCGGTGGAGGCTGGATCGTTATGTATCATCGCGATGAGATAATTTTGCTTACCCGATGTCGATCTTGTTGACTAGGTCGCCGCCGCCACCGTGGTTTTCCAGAAAGCTCGGAAGATCGCCGAACTGGCCGTACTCGAAAACAGCGCCGAACGGTTCTTCTTCTACCAAGGCAATCATCTTTGCTACGTTCGAGTCTCGAAGCATCGCCAAAACGTGCATGTCTTTCGTGAAATCTAACCTGTGTAGTGCTCGAGTCAAAACGTCGCAAGAATATAGGAAAGGAAATGTTTGTCCGAATCGCGTCGAATCGCGGAATCAGTAACACACCTTAACGAATCTACAACGCCACGCCACAGAGATCTGACAATTACGGTTTGTCGATTATTTTGGGTCGCCTCCACTTCTGGATTCATGATCCCCTTTGCTTCGCACAGATGAATCTGAATCGGGTGTGCGATTGGTATTGGATTAAATTTCATATTTCGTTTAATTGTAGATCTACTGTAAATACTGTTGATATTGATATTCTTTGTTACTCTTACCAAGCCGAAATTCCCCTCTCCAAGCTTGTCCAAAATTCTTAATCTGTGTCTGGAGACACGCTGAATGTCGTAGGAATCAATGCCACTCGGCAAGCATACCGTTTTCTCGCGAATTTGTAGCGGCGTGAACGGACTCTGACTCGACGGAATCTCCCTTTTCTTGATCTGTAACCGTGTAAAAATCTCTGTAAAACACCACACGCAAATGCATGCGTCCATCGTTTTCATAAATAATATACGTTTGATCTGTCATCTTACTGTTAAAATGTCTGTCGCAGCATAGTATCCTTCGTAGATCCTCTGATGATTCGTATTTCTCGACTGAAGGTGAAACGCTTTTTTCGTCGAATATGTCGTGCTAGTTGGCATGGACATTTCCGTATACTTGTTTGTCGCGAAGTTCGACTTGCGCTTGAAATCTGAGATAATCACTGGTTTTAAACGGTTTAAGCGAAAAGATCGAATGTCTGATATAACATTAAATACGATCTATTCGAACAATCAGACAGATGGAAGTCAGTGGAGATTAGTGATCAGAATATCTAAACCAGTAGTTCCCAATCTTTTTTTGGACATGCTCCACTCTTGTGACACATAATTCCTATTATTTGAAAAATGAATTTTTCCTGACGCGGCTAAAAAGGGAAGCCTGAAGGGTTTTATTGACTCGGTCTAAACAAGCTTCCAAAGAACACGACGGAAACGAAATGAAGTAAAAAGGATTCGTTGTTGACAACTCATTCTGAAATTGGGCCCCAATGTGGGTCCCAATTCCCCGCGTTGGGAACCACGGGTCTAAACCGTTCCCTGGATGAAAAAAAGAAAAAAAAAAAACACATAGATACGTCAGATACGTTACCGGGGCATGATTCGGCTGTACAAGTGGACGATGCGTTTGATTTTGGGCAGAGCACGAGGTTCTCTTCGGAGAAGAGATTGTACGTTCTCTCGTACAAGGTGGGACGACACGTGTCGGAATCATCGAGGCGAGAGTCGACGATAGCAGTTTTGGAATCGGTTTGGAGATTTGTGTTGGATCGATCGGGCAAGTTGTCAGCCGGGGCGATTAGGATGGGTTTGCGAATCAGGGACAATCCGGTCACGATCGAATTCGAGAGTTTAACGTCCTTCGGGGAGATTGCAATGCCCGGTGCGGACGAGTCACAGAGCAGGGCCGTGTGCTTTTGCAGCAAGGCCACTTTGTTGCGGCCTCTTTGCTTGATCAGAAACGCCGTACACGTTAGAAAAAGGACAAACACTGTCAGTACGCCGCTGACTAGGCCGATGTATGTTTGGGAGGTACCAACGGGAAAGGCATCCGGTGTTAAGGCGTCTTCGTCGATTTCATAGCGATCCGTTATGTTAATTCCTTTCGCAGAGTTGATCGTCAGATCGACGGAGTTGCTCGATCTTGTTCGTGATTCGCTCCGATTTTCCTCTATCTCGGACGATCGATCCTCAGCTAATATAATCAAATCGTCCAACTTAGTTCTGCTCCCTACGATCAATACGATACCAGAGCGTTATTGTATTACTATTTCTATTATGCTATATAGGTCAGTGACGGCGAACCTTTTTGAGAGAAGTAGGTAAAATTTTGTTCGTTATTTCTTTTAGTACTAGCTCGTGGCTCACCAAGTCAGTGGCGTCACTTGGAAAGGGGGAGGGGAGGATGGTTAAAAACTACTTTTTTTTTTTTTTTTTTGGTTCTCACTTTTATAATCCCC